CTCATGCTTAGACTTAGACCTGCTACCTTCAGACACCAGATTTTGCCTCAGGCTCCGGGTCTCTCTAGGCACAGACATCCCTGCATGGGACCCGGCCACAAAGGGCCTCCCCTCGAATCAGAGCCCGTGGAAAGAGGTGGACTCGGCCCTAGACCTCTCGGAAGATTCGACAAAGCTCCTGTCTGGTGCCACTCTACTCTCGCCGCGGGGCCCTCATTCCCCAGCTTGAGCCGCTCGCCTTCCCGTTCTGTCAAGAGCTCCTCGGGACCTCCCCTGTTTTTCTCAAGGGCGAAACGCGTCAACAGTCGCCCCATGGCATCTCGTCAGTCAAAGCTCGTCTGAGCTCTGTACAATTCACAATTTGTACAAAGCTACACCGACCAGTCGGGCAGTTCTGCAGCTCCCCCAATTCTCCTGTGCCGACCTCGTGGTACGGGCCCCGGAGGGCCGGAGGCTCCGGCCCCTTTCAGCCTCTTCCCACACTCAGACACCGGCAGCTCCAGTCCGCTACACCCAGCCAGACCAGAGCTCGAGCCGGTTCGCGGCTCCACTCTGCCAGCGAGGAACCACCCGGCCTCTACGACTCTACGGTCCCGAGACCCAGGGCCACCCCAAAGTCCAGGCGGGCCTGAAACACCAGCGCATCCACCCCCGGGAATCAGGCAGTTCAGGCCTGGGCGCCTCTGGAATCAGACTCCCCAGCCCAGAAGTCGCAGCTGCCTCGCTCGTCACCACGATCTGACCACCACGCCGCTCTGGATATAGACTTTCTTCTTCGACGGGTCGTACTTCACCTCGCCACTCGGAGCTCCGCCATACCCGGTCGCCGTCACCAGTTCAGACCTGGCTTCCACGTCTCGGAGCAGGATCCAAGTCTACGACCTCCCCTGCATCGCCCACATGGCATTCGCGGTCTCGTCTGTAGACGAAAGAAAGGCTCTTCCAAACTTGAGCCCATGAGCCAACATGTGTGCTGAACTTGGAATCTGAAACTTTGCACACTGTGGCCTTTGCCGCGGCCTCTCTTTGCCTATCTGCAAGCCTTGAGCAAAGAAAGCTGCGGCACAAAGACAGCCGAAGCAATGCGCATGCTGGGGCTCAGGGCTGAAGAGCAGGGTGGGCCTTGTGGGGGCTTACAGGGTTTTCGGGTGTGGGCTTAGGGTTTCGGGTTGGCCCGGGCGCATGCAACAGAAGGCATCTGAGCCTGGTTTCATCACAGCCGAATCACAGTAGCACTACCGACAGAAGGTGGTACCTCGACCTTGCTCATGTCCTGGAAGCCTCATTTACCCCACCCAGACTCCCAGCACGCCCTCGACCCAGACCAGGCCCAAGAAGAGCTCGAAGAAGATCTCAAGCCAAAGCCAGTAGTCCTCAGCACTTCTCGACTCGCTTTGCACTCAGGCTTTCTTGGGGGGGCTTTTTGACCCAGAACCCGGGTCCAGCTCAAGAAGATGAGCACAGCTTTCCTAACGTGACATGGCAACGACAGGGTACCAAGGCGAGCTTTGCAAACTTAGCAGCGAGTTCAGAAAAGGTCGCGAGCTTGCAAGGTAGCTGCTGCCGAGTCCGGCGTATATCTCCAGCATGCCACGTGTGGCTACATAACGAGTCGGATGTACCCCTTGCCAAGCTGCCTCACTCTTTCTGTCCCCAACACCCGAAACACCGAAGAAAGATTCATGTCGTCGGCGAACCTGGAGGTGGATCTTGTCTAAAAATGTCTGTCCTGAAAGCTGGGATCGCAGCTTTACGGCCGCAAGACCCGTCGGAGAGACTTGAGAAGCACTCGCCGACGGCTGGCGCCACAAGTCTTGCGGCTTCGACCTCATCCAGACTTAACCCTGGCTATGTATGATGATAAGGGGGACGTGTTGCCGCTGTCGCAGTTGTATGTTTGGAAAGCGCTTCTCCGTCTGCCAGCCGAATTTCGAACTCTGAGGCGGGAGCCCATCCTAAACGCCGCCGTCGCCTGCCGCGGGGGAGATTTCACTGGGTAAGGGGCCCCTAAGAAAGTTCCACAAATAGTAGGCTCCTTATGTCAAGGACCTAAGGATAGCGACAAGGGCTCTTGATAAGTGCCCCAAGAACCCGTAAGCCAGACAGTGCGGCGATTGTGATACCTCAACAGGGGCATGACTGTTGCGATCGGGAAACCATGATGCAGCACCTCTCAGTGACTGACAAACTGGAAAGCGCTAGATGAACACGACGGCTATGCAGGCTGGATTTGCATTGAAACGAACGTGCTGCCTCTGATCCAACACTGTCCCACCACCGGCAATATCCTGAAACCCGGTGCCATTGATCCTACGCCACTGAACACTGTGCCGTCAACCCCGAGCCCTGGAAACCCTCAACTCTAACCCTGCGTCCGATACTTCGCATTCGCAAGCGATGATCGCAGATCACAGTGACCAAAACGATATCGACATAGATGAAGTATGCAGCATGACGACAGGAACCATCCTAGCAGACATGAACGAAAATCACCACGGCATTGATGTAGGAGAGAGTATCACTGACAGTTCTTGCTGGCATTAACAAGAGAGCCTTCTCCACACGGCAAGAACCGCAGCTCCGTTGGTGCGCACTGCTCATCTCGAACCTCTGCTTTGAGAACAGCTCATATGTAGGAGAAGGTGTTGGTGGTAGCAGTAGTAGTAGTAGTAGCAGCAGCAGCAGCAGCAGGAGTAGTAGTAGTAGTAGTAGTAGTAGTAGTAGTAAGTAGTAGGTAGCAGGTAGTAGGTAGTAGGTAGCAGGTAGTAGGTAGTAGGTAGTAGGTAGTAGGTAGTACGTAGTACGTAGTACGTAGCATGTAGTACGTAGTACGTAGTACGTAGTACGTAGTACGTAGTACGTAGTAGGTAGTAGGTAGCAGGTAGCAGGTAGCAGGTAGCAGGTAGTAGGTAGTAGGTAGCAGGTAGTAGGTAGTAGTATTTAGTAGGTAGTAGGTGGTAGGTAGTATTTAGTCGGTAGCAGGTAGTAGGTAGTAGTATTTAGTAGGTAGTAGGTAGTGAAGGTAGTAGTATTCAGTAGGTAGTCGGTAGTAGGTAGTAGGTAGGTAGGAGGTGGTAGTAGTGGTGCTACTACTACTACTACTACTACTACTTCTTCTTCTACTACTTCTTTACTACGACCACTACCACTGAACAAGAAGAATTAGAATCAGCCTGGAAGTAGAAGCTGTCGACTTTCTGGTTGACATCGTTGTTACCATGCACTAGCGATGGTCGCAAGAACAGTCATGGATGCCTGAGTAGCAAGTAGACCTTTAAGCTTCTGAGTCCTGCCGATAACCCTAAACCCTAAACCCTTAAACCGTGTGCAAGACGTGTGCAGGGCGTGTGATGTGCCGGACGCAAGCAAAAAAATCCCCCGAAGACTTCTTTGTTCACTGCGCTTCGATAGCCGGGAGCTCGGAGACCTGAGGCCTGGAAGAGTAGTGTTAAAAAGTACAAGTAGAATAGGTTTGGGTGTCTTTTCTACTGTTTTGTATTTTCAGGTACCCGCCAAAACCCATTTCCAGGCCGTTATATGGGGATGGGTCAATATTAACAAAGGCCACCTCAATGGAAGCTCTCACTACTCTCTGCTTCTAGGCCCAGGATCTCATGAACTGCTTGAAATTGGCTCGTATCCAAAATGCCTATTCTGCTCGATGGAGGCCTTTTGGATTAATCGCTTCCCCCTGCTCTTGAGCCCGCCCTGACAGAACGTCCTCAAATGTCTTCAAACGGGGGGGGGTCAACGAGTCCCTCGTTGCGATACCAGTAGTTGTCAGCCGACCCAGCGATCGTGGCAAAGGTGAGGAGCTTTAATTAGAGCTGAGCAGGCTCCCGGGGGAAGCGATCTGCTTTGGTCCCGGCCCGGTGAAACTCAAACTTGGCAGGCAGTCCAACATCGGACAGTAGTCATAGTCGGGGCCGCCGAAGCCGAAGCTGCGACATCTGCGGAGGCTCAAGGAGAATCTGCTGCAAATCCCAAGCATACGAGCTGGCGTTTTATCTTCAGCCGCACATCCTGCAGCCGAAATCCTAAAGTTTGTTTAGGGTTTAGGGTTTGGCGGTTTAGGGGACCTGCAGCGATCTAGGGCTGATACCTTCCGAGGCCCTAGAAGGGATTCTGCGGCAGTGGCTGAAACAGCCTAGACTCCTGGAGGAGCTCAGCAGTCCTCGATACTCGGCTCAGCCCCAACAACCCGGAGATTCAATCGCATGCGCTCCGCCGGGCCCATGGTAAGATAAGAGTAACAAGAATAACAATAATAAACAACACTAGTATTCATAGATATAACAGTAATGTTAGTAGTAACAACCAGGTTCAATCACTGGTGCCTGGTTCTCTTTCTGCCACGAATACTCGATTTAGAACGGCTCTTCCTTGCTATCCGTATGTTGTCAAATCTTTTGGTCCTCCTGCTCACGAAAGAGGGTCCGACTACTACTACTACTACTACTACTACTACTACTACTACTACTACTACTACTACTACTACTACTATTGCTACGACTACGACTACTACCTCTACGACTAACACTACCACTACAACTACCACTACCAGTTACCACTACCGCCACCACTACCACCACACGACGACGACGACTACTACTGATACTAGTGATACTAGTGATACTACTGATACTACTGATACTACTGATACTACTGATACTACTGATACTACTGATACTACTACTACTACTACTACTACTACTACTACTACTACTACTACTACTACTACTACTACTACGACGACTACGACTACGACTACGACTACGACTACTACTACGACTACGACTACGACTACGACTACGACTACGACTACGACTACTGCTACTACTGCTACGACTGCTACGACTACCACCACTACTGATACCACTGCGCCTTCGGGCTTATGAGCATGAATTCTGAAAGGCTCTTCAGTCCGACCGGTGGTTCCCACCTCGAACCTTTGGCTGAAAAGAACCGGTGCATTTGGGGCGCTGCGCTGCTACCGCGATCTACGAAGTCTCAGCACGCCGTGCACACCAGGACATGAGGGCCGCCAGCAGAAGGGCGAGGACGATCAGCGATCCGGCAGAGATGCTGACGCCCGGCCTTTGTGGAAGCGTTCAGGGCTTGCCCCAAACATCCCAGAACATGACATATAAAAAGCTAGGAGTGCGGAAAAAAAAAAAAAAAAAACACCAAGACTTCGGCCCGGGAGCAAGCCGGGCTGGAGCGAGTAGCAGACGCGCATCCACAGCTCGATGCCGATGTAGATGGGCAGGACCACCCAGGAAGCCAGCAGGTTTGTTAGGAGGCTGCAACACAGAGAGCGCCTCCTTGCGAGAGCTCTGGAGACTGAGAGGATGCTCATTGCCATGATGGGGGTGGCCCCGAGCCACCAGGCCAGGGTAAAGAAGAAAGCCTGGAGGCAGTCCGACCAGGCCCCTTCAAAGGCGAAATACATGAACCTCGCCATGTACGTCCAGAAAACCGGGATGGAGCAAGCTGCCATCCAGGAGTACGAGAAGGAGAGGTGGCCGAGTTGAGGCACCAAGGCACTTTGCATTTGCTTCTGAACCCTTTGGTTGAAGACCTCCACCGACCCGAACCAACTGAGGATACATTCGAGGATGATTTCCTTGTCGCAAAGTGGAATTGGATTCCCGGAAGAATCTAGGTGTCCTTGCGTGCAGCAGCACGCCACTGCATCATGAACCGAGAAATCTCTGAGTTGCTCGACCATCTCCTTCACTGACATGTGGTACTTTCGAAAAGAGGATACCGCCACGAACATGAAGCCCGTTATGCCCAGCAGTATGAGCGCCAATCTGAGCATGGACATGGCAGACGTATCCAAGTCAGTTGCAAAGTAGAACGTTGCCAGGTTCACCGCCATAATGCCTGCCAGGCCTGCGTGGAAGGCCATGCTACACGGCCCTAGGAAAGTTGGCCTTATGACGAGCTTCGCATCCTCGCCGTGGGCTTTCATGAAGGCCGCCATCTCAAAAACGCCTTGGTCGCTTACTTTCGGAGCTGAGACGACACAAGCTTCAACGGTTGATTACCCTGGCATTATGAGCGGTGAGAGGCTCTCTAGTACCTTGTAGCAGTAGCACCTGTCCCAAAATGCAATCTGGACACACCAGGCCCGCTGCACATACGTGGAATCCCAACAAACCACCATGGTGCTGCTGCACTTGAGGATGGCTGGCATGCTGATCAGACCAGCGGTTTTCAGGGCCATGTCTGCCTGATGGATACAAAGCTGGTCCATAAACACGCTTTGACCCCGGCGCCAGAAGATCAGGGTGAGCGCACAGCACATCAGAGAGAAGAGAAGAGTGGCGAGCATTGCGTCCAAGGGGTCGCCCGGATCCTGAGCTGGGCCAAATGCCCAGAAAGCAGAGACCAGAAGAGCTCCACCTAAGGTGCCCACGCAGAGACTTGCGAGGCCGTTGTTCATGACCAGAAGCATGAGTACCTTCGACCAGACTGCCCCGTGCCAGCTGTGGCTCCAAAACTCGGAGATCTTCAAGGTGGGCGAGCTCTTTGCATAGTTTCCGGCTTTGTCCTCTGCGCCGATTCTCCTCAGGATGCGCCCCGCCGCTCGCAAGGGGACGTAGGCAGGGACCGCTCGCACGACATCAGGGCGTAGAGGCTCCAGACTTGTCAAGCATGCCACGATCTGAGAGATGGCAGGATTCCTCGGATCCTCTGCAGTTGCATCCTGGAGGGCGATTTCCTCCAGATTCTCTGCCTCTGCAGCCTTGCCAATTGCATGAGGAGCCATCAGTAAAGGCTACCGGCTACCGGCTATCACCTTCAGGATCTGACACGGCTCTGGCACCAGGCAGTGACCGCCGCACCTAGCGAAAGTGCCAGTGGAACGGAGACATACTGAAGCTACTTCGAGCTGGACACTCTGTAGACGTGGGTCATCAGCCGTGCTTGCCCTCTGCCCTCTTCGTCGTGCGACATCAAAACCTCTCAGGAAGCCTCGAAAGCTCGTGAGGCCCCGGCACCTCATCCCCACATCAGCCTCGGGCTGAAGACATCCGAAGCCAAGCTTTTGGGGAGAGTTTCACAGGCCAGCGTTGAGGGATCTCCGAAGCTTCGGGCTGAAGGCTCCCCACCCCCTCGACTAAAGCGTGAAGTCCGAACCTTCCCGAAGGCTCCAAAGACTCCACAGGTAGCCAATCATCGAAATCCCAACACGAACCCCATGCTTACGACGCTGGCTGCTGGGCCTCTATAATTTTTGTCCTGCAGGGAGGGGAATCTACTGAATCTACTGCCACGGCCATAACAGATTCTTACAAATCCGGACATCTCAGCCTCACAACCGCTTATGCTGGTCTTCCTCCTGCTGTGACATAACGATTGCAAGAAACTTCCACACGGCCTTCGGGAAGCGAAGAGCTTCACGACCCGTCCCGCTCCCACTCGGCTCCTAGCGGAAAGCAAAGCTGGGCGGAACACTGCAAACTGCAACCAACCCCGCTGCCTAGCACACAAACTGACACTGCGATGGTATGCACTTCCCCGATTCCTGCACTCACTACTTGCACCGCGCTTCGGCGAACGAGCCCTGTTGGCACGAACCCTTCGGTCCTTCCAAAGCGCCCCCTGGGCTTCGATCTTGCTGGAGCCGGCAGATCCGCGAGTCCAACGCGTTGTTGAGTTTCGGGGTTTAGGCCCAAGCTTTAGGGCTATATTGCGTGCTTACTATATATATATATATATATATATATATATATATATATATATATATGTTCTATACTACATATATATATACATATATATATAATATATATAATATATATATATATATATATATATACATATATATATATATATATATAACATATATATATATATATATATATATATATATATATATAACATATATATATATATATATATATATATGTATGTATATTACATCTATACTTAGGGCTCAAATCGCTCCTCAGGGGAGAATATTGTAGTGCCCCAGCGCCGTGGACGGCGCGCAGTCTCAACCCAGCGAAGCTGGGGGTAGGCAGAGGTTCGCCATACTGGCATCGCCGACAGCGATATCGCCGTGCTCAGGCACGGAAGACACTCGCCAAAAGGCAACAACTGTCGTGGCGGCAGGCCACCCGCTTGCGGGACCACCACGGGACAGATCCCGCGCTTCGACTACGTATAGAGAGGCGTATGGGCAAAAATCGACAGCCAGCACAGCCAGCACCATGGCGCCAACCACGACAGCCATGGACAGATCACGGCCATGGCGGCGGTGGTCAAGGTTGGTCCTTGTGGCCGGGCTCCTGGAAATCGGCTTCTCCAAGGAAGCCCCAGCCTACCGGTTTCCCGGCTTACGACCAGAAGTGGGAGAATGCTGGAGAACCTCACATTCGTGTGATAAAGGAGGACCGACCAGCTGCCTTAACGGCCGAGGACCTGACGGCACGTGTTGCTCAGCAGTTTGTCAACACCTTGCGAAAAGCGGAGGCCAAGGTGACGAAAATCACCAAAGAGCAGCAGGAACGAGCGCAGCAATTCTCAGAATACGAGAAGAAGCTGATGGACTCCTACTCCGCGGAGAAGCAGCGACACCAGGACCACCTGGACAGGCTTGCCCGGGAGTTGGTCGAAGCCAAGCAGCTCCTGGCAGACTCCAAGCAAGCTGCGGCCCGCACGATTTCATCGGTGGCAGGCACGGGCCCCCAAGCTATGGAGCTACAACAGGGTGCCAATACTGCCAGCGAGGATTGGCAAAAACTACTCCAGCGACATGCAGCCCCACCGGAGGAACCGGAAGTGGACCAGGAGGCGCTGGCTTTTCTGCGGGCCTACAAGGCTGGTTGGATCCCACCTCTCCCTGGTCATGCACCAGATTTTGGAAGTTCGCGCGGTCTAGAGGGCACAGGGGTGCCGCCTACTCAGATGGGTCCTCCACCACAGATGCCTACACCACCGCCGCCTTCGATGACTACAGCTGGAACAACCGGGTCCCAGCAAGAGGCGGGACCGGTTTTGACTACTTATGGTGCGGCTTCCCCCTCCTCGGCGAATCTTCGCCCCACTCCCTATCCTTCGACATCTCCGGCACCGGCGAAGACGGCACAGACCGAGGCGGACGAACTCCAGTATGCACGCAGCCCGGAGTCCAGACACGCGTCCGAGAACGCGCAGATGCCTACTGCTATGTCAACCGTGCCACACGACGCTGTGCGCACGAAGGTGCGAGAGGGTGTCAAGGAGTTCACCAAGCAGCCCCCAGCCACGTTGCCGACGCAAGGGCCCTCTTTGCAACAAAAGCTCGAGCAGCGCCGTGCAGCCGAGCAGGTTGGCACAGCTATGCGGCCCTTTCGGCAGAAACCTCAGGAGGAAGGCCAAAGCCTTGGCCACCTTGCCTCCGGCGATTCTGGACAGGCAGATTCGAACGGGAAACCGCCTACTTTTGTCGACGACGATCCCGACCAGCGAGCTCATTCTCCCGGTTTTGCAGGAATGGAGTGAGTCATGCCTTGTACAGGTGCCCACCTCACCCAGCGCCTGGACATGCGGGGCCGTTGTGCAGGCTGCAGCAGCCGTGCGCAGCTGAGAGACCTTGTGAATGGGTAACAAGCGTCTCTCGCTGCTGCTTTGTCTGCTTCGGTCAATGCTTACGGCTCCGGCCTGTCTTGGTTGCTGTAGGCGGAAGGGGGTTGTGTCACTCTGAGGTGCAATTCTGTATAGCAGGCCAATCCCCACACAACGAATTCTGGATGGTATGCCGTCACTGGGTTTGTGTCGGTTGCCGTCTAGATTTCAGACCCCATGCCGGGCCTGGTCGCAGACATTCCGTCGGCTTCCCAGGGCTTGGAACTCGTTCCCTCGCAAAAGCGCCTCATACCGCCGGCCGTGCAGCCTGTGTCTACCTTTCTTGCCGGGGCCCTTTGACATCTGACATCTTTCTGGGTTCGAATGGTGTCGGTGTTATTGGGCTCCTTTCTTCCTCGCGGAGCTTGGAAGGGTGTCGGCTTTACACTCTATCCGGGTTCCCTTCGCCATGGCAGCAATACCTTTCGGTTTTGCCTTCTTCACCCTGCCACTGGGCCCGACTTTCTTCGCCTGTGCCTCTTATTACACCGTTTTGGGTCAGGAGTTCAAGCGCCTTGCTTTTTGGCTGCACTCCACCCTCTCAGGCTTTTGTATCCTGTTGTGGCCCATTTCCTCAGAGTGGTTCTACAGTGAAACCTGCTGAGGTCTGGAGACCAAGCGCCTTGTCTTTTGGCTGCACTCCATCTTTGCAGGTATGTGGTTCCCTTTTGCACCCGTCTGCACGCCTCTGTCCGGCAGATGTTCAAGTTTGGGTTTGGAGATCAAGCGCCTTGTCTTTTGGCTGCACTCCACTCCCCTGCGCACCGGGGTCGTGCCCCAACAATTTTGCCATCCCTCTAACCCTCTGCCCTCTAGGGTTTAGTCCCACCCCCCTTTCGGTTGATGATGAGCCATTCTCCGAGAGTCTCCTTCTGACGGTGCTTGATGCCGTGGGATCTTTCCTGCTGCCTTTGTGCAGGGCCATCCTCCTGCAATTCATGCTGGCCCTCTACCTGTGCCTCTGGCGACAGATCCCTGCGCGCCACGAACCACTTGGCCGTATCCTCGGAATACCCTGCAAGGGTGCCACTACGAAGCATCTTGCATGCCTCCGCGGCTTTTCCCCGAGCCAAGCTGCCAACACAGCCAGCACACAGGGCGACGGCAGGAGGCCACAAGGACGCTACCGAGGATGCGTAGGGAGACCGCCTTCATACGGGCACCGCCTCCTCATGTGGAGCCTCCTGATGCTGAACTGCCCAGTGCGCATTTGGGCTTCCCCGTTCCGTCTCCCCGCTGCCAGAGGGCTAGAGGAGGCATATGGATCCACTCCAGGGATTGCTTCCCAAAGCAGTGCATCCATCGGCTACCCTGAGCACTTTCCCGGAGCATGGAGCCCACCCTCCGAAGGAACGGGCGACCTAGGCATGAGGTCAGGTTCTGACAGGTCAGACATGCAGGTCCAGTGTGTGCTCCTTTCTCCCGGCTACCCTTCCCAATCGGTTCATGTTCCGATACATGTACCGGTCACGCCGGAGCGACTCCTCCAGACTGTGGTCGATCATGTTAGCCACAGGACGATTTTCTTCGCGGCGGACCTTGACTTCGTAGAGCCTCAGCCCGAGGAGGGATTTATCTCACTCCTTTTGGTTCCGCAGTGGTTGGAACAATCAGAGTGTGCCGAGATTGTTTTCGACTTTGCTGCTTTAAGCGGACCTGTGTATGCAGCCATAGTTGACAGGAACCTTCCACACGCCCTTGTTATCGAACATGCCAGCAGACACACAGAATCGCCTTGGGACGCTTTCCAGACAGGGAACCCAGACCCTTTACGCTCCGATAGGCCTATTAGGGTTGTAACGGGTGACACAATCAAGTTTGTCGCGGTTTACGGCAGACCACACTGGTACCCGTCTTCTGCTGAGTGCCTCGGTGACGCCAGTTTCCTCTCTGCAGACATTCGGCAAATTGTCAGCGAGACAGTGTCAGATTCATGGCTCATCCTCGCACACGGGGTTGAGCGCGATATTCTGCACCAGGGCCAACCAGATGAGGCCATGGAGGCACATGCAGCTAGCGCTCTCCATTGCCGGCAGAGCCAGCTTATGATGTGCATCCCTGACAAAACCGCTTTTCACCCGTATGTCCACCAAGGTGTGCTTCTAGCCGGAGTGATCGCGGCGCGACCCCGCACCCCGTCTGAATCATGTGGAGCTTCCCCCGGGGCCCTCATTGTCCTGGATTGTCGGCCGATAGGCAGGAAACCCACGTTTTATTACACAGGCGCCCAATGTGTCGAAGCTTCGGCCTTGCAGCATCTCCTTGACCTCCGCCCACCTCGCGGCTTCCGGCCGGCTTTCAGCGGCCTTCCCAAAGTTGGTGATGCTTTCTGTGTCTGCCACGGAGGCGTTCTGCATGTCGACTTTGAGCCTGCTCCATCCACGTCGCCAGCGAGATCTGCTTTCGACCCTCTGGACAGTTGTGCAGCCATCAGCATGCGCAACCCATATCAAGCTCCGGGCGGCTGCCCAGGCGTACCATGGCAGCGCGCAGCCGATGTTCACCGTGATCAGCACCCTCCTGCTCGGTATGATGACGATGCCCGCATACCGCCAACAACCACCTTCACGAGGGACAGGCCGCAGGGCGCCCCGCCCCCAACCTTTCTACACGGACACTTCCTTGTTTTTGCGCCAAGGTACAGAGCCGAAGTCCTGCCACTGGTCCTGAGGGTCCCCTGCGATCAGGACGATGCACTCAATGAAGTCCAGGATGCTAGGAATGAAGATCAGTCTCTCTACTTCGACACGCTTCTTCCGGTCGAGCCTCAGCCTGACAATCGCTTTGCTTGCATCTTGTCCCTGCCTGACTGGGCTATGACGCAATGCCATGTGCTTATTGATCTTCGTCAGGTTGATGGTCGGCTCTTTAGCATTCTGGTGCCTGATCGTGTCTCAAGAGCTTCCCTTCTGAATCTTGTAGCTCTTCCTGACAGACCAGGCCTGTGCATCTTCCTTGCTGATCGGCTCCTCCCTGCCGACAGGGAAATTGTACCAGAAAATGGGGGCCTTCTCACCTTTCTTCCGGAAGGCCGCCGACTAGGCCCTCTTTTCCCCTTCGACGAGCTCTTGGGCTCTGCGCACTATTGGGCCATGCCGTGCCCGATGTACCCTGGACCAATCCGGTCCGCAGTGCTCGTCCACAATGATGCTGAACCCAGAGTCATATCATACGAGCAGAACCCGGCCCATACCCTACCCCAGCTCCGACAGGCCGTCTCCGGTGAGCTTGGGTACGATCTGGCTGGTATGACTCTCCACCAGTCCAGGCCTGCCATCGAGGATGTTGAGCATTTTGGCCACACCTGCAAAGCCCTATGCGTCGCCACCAGGCGTGTCAATAGTACGGTTGGCGGCGATGACAGTGCTGGTCAGCACATAGTCATCATAGATGCTAGGCCTATTCTACGGGACATCGAATGGGTCCTGGCCGATGAAGGGAAGCTCGACTTCGACGGCCTGTGTGCTAGATTTGAAACAGATGTGCCTCACGGTTATGCTGTCAACATCAAGGGGGGTCGACATGAACTCAGAGCTGAAGGTACCCTAGTGCACGTTCAGCAGGCCGGCATCCTCGTTGTTCAGTATGTAGCTGATCTACTTGAGCACTCGTCGCATTCCGGTAGCGATGACCCCAACCTTCTCGAGCACGAGGAAGGACAGTTTGAGTCAGAGGCCGCCAGCACGGATTCCAGTGAATCCTCTGACGACAGTGGAGCAGCTGAGGACCATCGGACTCGAAGCCGTTCTCCCCGCCGCGCTGATGGCGGTCCCCGGCAAAGATCAAGGTCAGGCGATGCAGCTGCGCCAAGACTCCTTGACCTAGACCTCCTTGCGAAGGCCGACTGCAAACTCCAGCTCCTCGTTAGTTACGAGGGTCCTCCAGTCCTCTTAGACCCCTTCCCTGCTCTCTCTTGCATCGGGTTTCTTTGGGATTCTTGCCCCGCGCTCCTCAATCATAAACTTTTAGGTGACGCGGATTCGTGCCATGTCTCCCAGTGGCGTGAGAGCTTACCTACTTTTGGTGACGGGACTCAAGCAGGAGATCAATGGACTTACTCGGCCCCACCAGATCATAGGGCACCAGCGGGTGTTGAGGCCGAGGGACAGTACGACGAAGTCCTCCACCTGTCTGAGGACCGGAAGCTCTACTTCGTTGTTGCCACGCCTGATTACTCGTTGTTTCAGACAGAGATTATGCTGACGCTTCCTGCAGTCCTCCCTGAGGCTCTCGAAGCAGTTCGTGAATCAAGACCCTCTGCAGACCGCAGACAGTTCCCGATCCTCTATCCCGCAAATCCACAACCGATTGCAGGCTTTGGGGTCTTCCTCGCAGAACCTGGCTGGGGCCCGCAGCCCCCGACCATCTGTTTGGACACACGGCTGATCGATGGCCGTCTGTTTGCCAGTTGCAGACGCAGCTACGCTGACCGTTTCGCGCTGCTGCATCTGGCTGGGCTGACTCATCTGCGTGATCTCGCTGTCTACGTCGGCCAGGATCGTGTCCCTCTTGCAGACGGGGCTGAACTGCACCTTGCATCCGGGGACACCATACGTTTTGTGCCAGAGGGATTGCCCATTGCACAAGCTGACACCTTGGCAGACTGCCTGCGCAACCCAGCATGGTGGAGCATTGAACCCTATGTTGTTCCCCCTAGTCTGGTTCCCACATATGGGTTAGTCTTCAACGGCCAGACTATCCTCCATGAGACAGATGCTACCTGCCCAACCAGGTACAAACATCAGATTGCGGCATGTTTAGGTCTTCCAGTATCAGGCTTCAAGTTGTGCCCAACCAACCCGCGGATCCATGACTGTGTCATTGATGGGCATCCAGTGCGCGCTATCATCGGAGTAGTCGAGACTGCCAGCACTGAA